ACCAAAATTTATTCAACAGTTGCCATATTTTGAACATTTTGGTTATGTAGGGGTCCAAACTGTCCAAGTTAGGCCTCTGTAGCATGTGGATTATTTTGAGCTAAAGGCAACGGAGACTCTGCAGGCTCAAGAGAAACTTCTGCCTCTCTTAACTACCTAGAATAATTTAAATCAGGGGCCTTGTCTATAATAAGAAATTAAGTGAGATAACCTTAGGCCGGCCTGGTGGCTCAGTTGGTTAGAGGGCGAGCTCTGAGCAACAGGGTCTACTGTTCAATTCCCACATGGGCCAGTGAGCTGCGCCCAAGCTGAGCTGCAGCTGAGCTGCCAACGGGCAGCCAGATGGCTCAGTTGGTGATAGCGCGTGCTCTTAATAACAAGGCTGCTGGTTTGACTCCCACATGGGATGGTGGGCTGCACCCCCCTGCAACTAGATTGAAAGCAGCAACTAGACTTGGAGCTGATGGGTCCTGGGAAAAACACACTGTTCCCCAGTAAAGCTTAAAAAAGAGAGAGAGAGAGAACATTTTGGCCTATCTATAGGGCAGGGCAAATTACTAATCACTGAGCATCTGGTCTTCTCCTCTTGCACCGACCTCCCCTCCCTTTGAACCTGAAGGTTCCTTACCTCACCTTCGCTCAGGATGTCATGTGCGCCTCATTTTCCCTCTCTGTCTCTGAACCTCTCATGGATGTGAGGGCTCTGACTCTTTCATGTATGTGGGGTTCCCATACATATGCACATAATTAAATTTGGTTATCTTCTCTTGTTAATCTATCTCATGTAGATTTAATTATTAGACCAGCTGAAAGAACATAGAAGGGTAGAAGAAAGTTTCGTCCGTTTTCGAAGTTATTTCCAATTTTTCAAAATTAAAACAATTATAAACAATGCTGCCCTGAACATCCATGTATACACATTTTTGGCGTGTATATTCATGATAATTTTTAAAGAATGTTTCCTGTAACTGAAATTGTTGGATTAAAGAGAACATGCATTTTATGATATATATTGCTAACTACCCTCAGCAGTTTATGGGAATGCCTACTGCCCACACCCTTGACGACACTGAGCTGTATTGTGTCATTGTTAAAATTTGCTAAAACGGTCCCCCATGTAGGGCTTGCTTTAATTTTCCACTGATTTAACTACTTGGGAGGTTGAGTGTTTCCCCTATTTATTGCCGATTTATAGTTCCACTTTTGTAAAAGCTTTTTCTAGTCCCAACGTCGTTTCTCAGAGAATATAAATGTCTCTAGTGATAGGCTACGTCTTTGGGCAAGAAAACAATGACTGGTTATTTGCTTTGTGAGAGTTTAGTTTCCTCTAACAAACACAGTTTGGGTCTAAAGGGAACAGGTTAGGATTAAACACATAATAATTCCGTCTCATGATGATAAATCTTCAGGGCACAACTCAGAAAAAACTTTAAAAGAAAGGGATAACAAAGTCTTACTGAGTTTGCACTGTGGTTTGGAGAAACTATCCTAAGAAACAGAGTCTGAGTGAGATAAGTACACTCACCTGCATCCCCTTACCCTAGTATCATTCCCCCTGACGCCAAGGCTTTCCAGGTGTGGGTCAACTGCAAATGAGTGAGGCTGGATTAGGGATGGGGTCAGGAAAACCACTCAGTTTAAGAGGTCAACCACTCCTGAGCGATGGTAGAGAAAGCCTGGGCTTTGACACGCACGGCCCCTGGGGGCAGAATCAGAGTTCTGCAGTTACCCGCTGTGAACCTCAGTTTTCATATTTGTGAAATGGAATAATAACATCCATTGACAAGATCGTTGTCAGAACGATTGAGAAGTGAAATACCTAGCTCAGTAGTTAGTGCATAGTAGTCTTTCAAAAAATGATAGCTAGGGCCGGCCGAGTGGCACGATGGTTAAGAACTCGCTTGGGATGCCAGAAGGCCCCGGTTCGGATCCCACATATGAGGGCCAGTGACACTGCCCTCTACAGCTAAGATGCTGAACAACAGCTCAACCTGGAGCTGGGCTGCCGTGAGTCGCCGGCGATGGCAGGTGGGTTGCCATGGGCTACCGTGTGTAGCCAGCAGCCAGCGTGAGCGGCCAACAGCCGCAGTGAGCGGCCGTCCAGAAGCCGGCGACTGATCTGCCTCATCTGGGAAGAGCGCAATGATGGTGCCAACTTGGGCCAGTGAAGCAACATCCTCCACAACTAGACTGAAGAACAAAACGACAGCAACTTGTCTGTCCCCCTTCCCCCAATTCCCCAGCACTGTTCCCAACCCCCCAATTCACCAATAAAAATCTTAAAAAAAAAAAATGATAGCTATAGGGCCGGCCGAGTGGCTCAATTGGTTAAGAGCTCACTCAAGAGTTTGAGCTCTGAGCAACAGCAGTTCGATGGCCCGAGCTGACCTGCCGCTGAGCTGCCAACAGGTGGCAGCATGGGTCAACTTAAAAAAAAAAAAAGATAGCTATGACAAGGATTAATCCAATCGTTCAAATATTTATTGGGTGCTATTTAAGTATCAGGCACTGCTCTGGGTTCTTAGGAATTACAATAGACAATACACAACAGATAAGCCAATTGTATAGCTGTAGAAGGTGATAAGCTTATGTATGAATAGATATGGGGCAGGTAAGGGCAATGGGGGTGCAGAACAAGGCAATAGGCAGACCTCCTTGGGAAGGTGACCTTGCAGCAGAGACGCGAAGGAAGGAAGTGAATGAGCTTGACGCCTGGGAGAGGGACCAGCCACAGAAATGCCCCAAGACAGGCGTGAGTTTGACTTGTTCCAGGGCCAGCGAGAGGCCCGTGAGTGGAGCGAACAGGGAGGGAAGGTGGTAGCAGGTGGGACGGCGGGTAGCTCATGTAGAGCCTCATGGACCGTTTGTGGGGTGGGTCCTAGCCTGAGTCTGCCTATGTGTTGGTTGCTGGGCATACTTTCATGGCTCTGGTCCTTGAAGGAGCTTGAGTCCAGTTGAGTGGGACCCTGGGCAGTTCAGGGAAAGCTGCTTCTTGGCGCTCTTGGAAGGTTTAGCCTCTGGGATCAGCCTCATCAAGGCTCAAGCTGACTGGATTCCTTGGGGTCCTTTGTCACCTGGAGCAGAGGCAAGACTTGTGGTGCGTCTGGGGAAAGCCCCCCAGAGGCCTGTTTCAAACCCGCTACAAGCTTCAACCCTAGGAGAGAAAGTTCTGGAGTCACCTTTTCCTACCTGGACCTCAAGGAAGTGTTTCCTCAGTATTTTGTCCTTTTTGAACTATTGTCAAGTATAATCAACACCTAGTCCTGAAGCAAGGTGCTGAACCACCCTCCAACACCAGCTCCCTGAAATACCCTGATAGGGTCCTCCCAGACGCCCACAACCTTCGGGCATCCAAGAAACAGGCTGGGCCTCCGCAGCCAGGAATTTGCCCAGCTCTGTGCCCCAGAGCAGATGGCTGCATTCAGCAGGAGTTGGGAGGGACCCACCAGAGGATTTGTGTGAACCCCATTTGCATTTGCATTTAAGAGATGAACCTGGTCCCAAGAAAGTGCACAGAGGCACAAACACATTTTGGATACTGTTCCAGAGAACCCTGGGGGAGCGCTTCTACTGCACGTGTTGCTTAAAACACAGTCTTAGCACCCACACTGGTGCTGTCCGATAGAAGTACAAGGTGAGCCAAATATGTCATTTAAAAATCTCCAAGAGTCACATTTAAAAAAAATAGAAAATAATGTTAATAGTATATTTTATTAATGAAATATGAATATATCAAAAATACTATGATTTCAACAAAAATTACTATAAAAGTTGCTGAGACATTTTACATTTTTTTCATACTTAAGTCTTCATATTTTTTATACTTAAAATCCAGTGTGTATTTTATACTCTCAGAAGACCTCAGTTTGGACCAGCCACACCTCAAGGGCTCAATAGCCACATGAGACTAATGGCTACTAGATTAGACGACACAGCTCTAGGCTGTTCAAGAATTCTTAACAAATGACACAGTTTACTCCAGTATGAAGTTGTCAGGGCTTGACCAGTGTTTCTCAAAGCAATTTGATTCTCAAAGCAATCCAGTGAAGTAAAAAGAACTTTGATACTTGATAAGGACTCTAAAGTTTAAAGTTTTTGTGATTATTTAAGATCATTTCATTAAAGAGCTATGACTGTAATTGAGGCCTCATGGCCCCTTATCCAAGCATCTATTATACCATGTATCACAATTTTAAAGTAAGCATTCATTTAATGTTTTTGAATAAGAAAATGAGTAAATAAAAGGCCTCCCTATAAGTAGACGTTACATTTAAAACATCACAAAATAATCTTGGAAAAGAATTACGAAGTTGGATGACTTTAACTACCTGACTTCAAGACTTCCAAGAAATTGCTAGTAATCAAGACAGTGTGGAATTGGCATAAGGACAGACAAAGAGGTCAGTGGAGCAGAAGAGAAAACCCAGAGAAAGACCCACACCCTTTGCAACAAAGACACCTGGGTCAATGGAGAGATAGGAGTCTTTTAAAACAAATGGAGCTGGAAGAACTGGGTATCCATATAGAAAAAAAGTGAACCTGAATATCTATCTTACACCAGTCACAAAAATTAATGAGCTGGATCAAGACCTACACATAAAGGTTAAACTTTTATAATGCTTCCAGAAGGAAACATAAGAGAATATCTTCATGACTTGCGAGTCGCCAAGACAGAGAAATAACCATCAAAGAAAAATCTGATAAATTAAACTTCGTCAAAATGAAAAAGTTCTCATCCAAAGACACCATTATTTATTATTGGTTACTCTATGTATATGTAAAAATGTTCTCAGTAAGAAGTTGTAAAAAAGAACCACCATCAAGGAGAGCAAGATTTTCCCCAGCTCCCAATCTAAGTAAAATATTACCTCTAAGCTCTATCGTCATGCTCCCGTTTATCCCACAAGACAGCATTCACTCCTACCGTTGCCGACCAACCCAATTTGACCTCATGATGACAACCACCCCTCACGTGTCAAGGGTATGAGACGGAGACTCACCTGTCTCAAGCCTCCTGAGAATAAAGTGGTGGGCGCTGGATGGGATGAGAGAGCTGCTTGCTTCAAAACAGGGTTAGTAGGGCGTTTGGGACTGTTTGAATTGTGGGGTTGCAGGATATCTGGTGCACTGACTTTCTGGAAAAGGAAACAAAAGTTAATAAAATAGTCTGCACCCCAGTTTGATTGTTCAAATTGTGGTGACTCCAGCTAGTATAGCCTGCATCTATTACCTGATGGCACTAATATGCAAACTTCCAGGTGTAAGAGGCACACTTCTGGGTGTGTAAACGTATACACACACCCGCGGGGGACCCCCCCGAGGCAGATATCACCAAGCTTTGGGACAGTCATGAACAGTGATGGGTGGGTTACTTATGGGTTAGTAAAAGTCTTAAAGAAATTGAAGTCCACATTTTGGCCTTCAAAATGATCTTTTCTTAAAAGATCATTTAATCATATGAAATACAATATTCATCTGACAGGCAGAGTTTTAGCTCTAATGTGCTCATAAAAAAAAGGAAATATCAAAATACATCTCTAAATCTTATAAAAATACTGTTTATAAGAAGTGAGTACTTCCTCTATAATGTATACAGCTGTGCTTTCCAATATGGTAGCCACTGGTCACATGTGGCTATTTAAATTCAAGTCCCACTTAATTGAAATGAAATAACATTAATAAATTCAGCTCCTTGGTTGCATTAGACACACTTCAAGTACTCAGTAGCCACATGTGGCCATGGTTGAAAAATTCTATTGGACAGTGCTAGTACAGAACAATAAACACAGCTGGCAAAGTGGGAAAACCTCTTTCTAGCTGAAAATACAAAGTTTCTGAATCGAGCCTTTTTTGTTTTTTTTGATGCTGGGTTCGAAGAGGAAATTATAACAGTCACACTATAGTCATAATTTTTAGGAATAAAAAACTAAGTGAGAATTTCAGAGAACAAATGAAAAGCATGACTACCTCCAAATTATTATTTTTGCCTTCAGTCCCCAGAACATCAACTCAATCCCATCAAACATTTGTTAAACAATACTGTATCCCATCCACCACTCTTACGTCCTGGGCTGGAAAGAGGAAGGAGAGAGAGGAGAAGACACAAATCTGTATCATTGTATCTCCAAGGTCTCCCTGGTTAGTAGGAAATAGACACACGATTAAAATCAAGGCACGAGCCAAGTCCCTGGTACACAGGAGAGAGTTTATGCCAGCAATGGACATCTGGAATGATCTTTAGTGGGAATATGACTTGAGTGAGGTGTTGAAGGCTGGCTGGGCAAAGACCCACAGGTAAGGCACCTGAGTTGAGGGGCTATCATGACGGTCAAGTTCAGAGCACATTCCTAGACCTGCTAGAGACCAACGCAGCTACAGGCTCAAGAGGCCAGGCAGAGACCTGACCTGAGATCACGCACACAAAGTGATGTGTGAGGTTGTCCAGAGCACAGGTAGCTCAGAGACATGGGAGGAGGCAGAGGGCTAGAAGGGACACGGATCCAACGGGAGGACTTCAAGAATGAAGGGTGTTCAAAGAGGAGAAGAGTATGAGGAAAAGGCTCACCTAAAATCAAAGAAATGCAAAAAAAAAAAAAATTAGTTGCCTCTCAAATTAGCAAATATTAAAATAAAAAGTATAAAGTTTAGTGTTGGCAGGAGTGCTGACAAACAGGCTACTCCTCTTCTAGTGGGTGTATAAACTGAGTCGACCTCAGAGGAGGGCAATTTGGCAACATGAATTAAAAGCCCTAAAAAGTAGCTGTTGAAAATGATAATATGTAATGTTTGATGTGGAAAGAATTAAAACATGTTAGATTTTCTTTAAAAAGTAAATTACAAAAGTGGGTATGTGACATGCTGCCATTTTTGTAAAATGAGTGTGTACCCCAAGAGGCCACCCCAGGTCACCCTTGTGCATGCTTCTTAGACCCCAAGAGAAAGAACAAAATGGAACTCATATTAATATGAAGGTTTGTACCTCCAAGATACTCAATACATAACTGTTGAATTCAGTCTTCTTTAAGGCAACATTGTTTTTGAATTAAAAAAAAAAAGAAATTGATGACACAAAGTTCTGAACAGGAACAACAGAACTATCTTTATAATAACGATCACATGGCTTGTCACATTCATAGCCAGGGAACACTATGCTTCTGGGAAGCCTTTAATGAAACTTAAATGCAAATATAAATATTTTGAAATTATAACAAAGTTGATCTTACTCTGAAGAACATGCTTATTTTGATTGACCAAGGAATCCAACTTGAAATTTTGCGTCACCTCTTTCCCAGTAAATCCTGAAGGGCATGGATGACTTTGTCGGTTCAGTGCCTTATTCAAGGGCATCAAGATGCAAATAGCAGCTTACCGATGCCATTGACATGGTCATTTTCTTTCCCCTGTGAGTTTTAAGTATTTCAATAACTACCTACTTTGGGCCAGATCGCAGAGAAAATAATTACCCTGAATGAGGTCTATTCTGCAAAGCGCTAAACTTACTATCATATACCAAAAGATCAATAAACATTAGGTTTGGTTTGATCATATAATGGAACCATGCAATACGTGTGTGTGGAATTTTTGCTGATCTTAGATAAGAGAAAGAAGAGGAACCCCCATGGCCTCTGAGACTGCGTCTGAGGGTTGCCTTGTATCATAAACACTCACTTGGGTATCAGAAAAACACCCAGGCTGGGCTGGGCCAAGAATACATGGTCTGAGCAATGTTAAAGCCCAGCTAAAGAGTAGACCCCCCTCTCCCGGGACCATTGGAAGCGTCACCGGCCCTTCAGCCTGAGGGAGAGGACCAAGTGCTTTAATGGGTGGAGCCCGTCGCTGCTGCCTTCCTTCTCTGCTGCTCAGCTTTTGCAGTATGACCAGCAGGTGGGGAAGGCGATGTCCGGGGAGCGCCAGGCCCTGGGCGGGCTGTGGCTTTAGACCTCAGGCGTCCATGAAAAACATCACACAGCACAAGAGGGCACAGAATGACATGAAGTCTCCATCTCCACCTCTGCCCTCAGTCCTTCTCCTCACAGATAGCCCCTCCTAACAGCTTTTTATGTCCCTTCCTGGTGAAAAGGTGTGTGTTTTTATGGCCAACATAGGTCAAGCACACATTAATAAGATGTACAGTAAAATCCCACTGAAATGCACATGAAATCTCAAAGGAGAGGTAAGAAAAGTCACTTCTTGAAGAGCCTGGCCCAGCTGCTTAAGTGAGGGTCTTTGCAGGGGCATTTTTGGAACACACAGTCAAGCTTGGCATGGAAGCTGTCCAGAGTTGTGTTCTCTGTTAACACCCCAGAATCCCCATGTGGCTTTAAGCAAGTAATCTACTATTTCTGCACCTCAGCGTAGCCACCTGCAAAGTGGACGCCGACGTCCCTGACTTCCAAAGGCACTGTGTTGTGAGCCTGACATTGGCAAGAAACTCCACAGTGTTCAGATGAGACGTGAGTGTAATTTGGGGGGCGCTCACCAGCTAAAGCATGTGTAATTGCAGTCTGACAAATGTCCTATTTAAAGGTATACTCTTTATACGTCAACCCAATAGTTACTTAGCATTTATAGATCATGCCATGATTGCTGAGCACACGGGCTAAACTGCTCCTGAAGGCAGCCACATCCCCTTCAGGTAAGGTGGGGAGAGAGGCCTGCAAAAAGTGGTGCGCACGTCCTGCCAAGAACATGGCCGCTAAGTGGGCACGCAAGGACGGTCCCCTACACATGGGGACTCTGTAGCCATGGCCCCTCCTGCCCCCCTCCCACTTCCACCCCTAACTCCCTCGTCGCATCCGACAACCTTGCAGGTGCCAGCAGGCTCGTTCCAGGAGCACATAGAGCAGGGACAGCAAACGCCACAGATGCCACTTACATCAGCTTCCGAAAGCCAAAAGCTAAGCCTGTGGATGCCTGGGATGTCCCACCACATGGCATATGGCGTCAAAACTGGGAAAGGTGCGGATGGGTCTACAAACTTCACTGGCGCCTCTGCTAGCAGGCATGACAGGTGTGGCCTATGCAGCAGGCCACTTCCCGCCACGTCACCCTCTCGGTCGTCTCTGCCCCAGTGTCCTCACCTTTAATGGGGCCAGTAACAGCCCAGACCCCTCAGGGTTAAAGGATTGTAAGAGTTAAACACCTGTTAGGGCTTTCCACTGAGAGAGGGCCTGGTACGTCCTTAACCCCTCGTCAGTGTTAGCATTACAGAGGCTTTGTCCCACCCAGGCGAGGAAGAGAATGATTTGTGCTTCCGGAATCACCCTCCTGAACCTTTTCCCTCCGTGGGCCTCACCTGTCCTCCTTATGCAGGGCATATAATGAAGAGGTTGGGAATTCAGAATTAAGGCTCATCCAAACCTGGGCTTTGCTCCTGGCTCCGCCTTCTACGAGCTATGTGATGCTAGACAAGTTGGTTAACCTCTTACTAAAGCTCAGGTTCTAGATCTTTATCATGGGAGTAAGACCCTTCTCGAGACTTTTGTAAGACTTCAATGTGGTAAGTACCGTATTTTCCGGCGTATAAGACGATTTTTTGGCCCTGAAAAATATGCCTCCAAGTGGGGGGTCGTCTTATACGCCAGGTACACTTCAGATAG